AAACTATGAAAATTCAAACTTTAGTGGACATACACACACACTCACACACCCAACCACTTGATAGAACCTCTGGCAAAAAGAGTATATGAAAGTTGTTAGTCAATATGGGTGGCTCAATTTGTCAAAAAAAAAAAAAAAAGGCTACACAAGAGAAATTCAGAGAGGGAGAAGAAGAAGAAAGAGATCACTGGAAATGGTGCTACTTTCGGAGGAAAACCTAGCTATTTACAGTTGGTTCATGTGTAGAAGAAGGAGACACATAAGCTATAAATACATGCCTCCCTTCATTTGTTTTGCATCCCAAAAACTGAGAGCTTCTCCCATTTGTAAATTTGTAAGAAATATTTAAATTTTCAATTTGTGGGCAAAGTACATGGCTATTACAGAAGCTGTTAAGGAAGCAAGTTGGCTTCAAGGGTTACTTGAATACTTCGTTGTTAGTCAGAAGCACATTACTAGTCAGAAGCACATTACGGTGCATTGTGAGAGTCAGAGCACTATTCCCTTAGTGAAGAATCAAGTCTACCATGCAAGGACGAAGCACATTGATGTTCGCTATCATCTTGTGTGAAAAATTCTCGAAAAAGGTGACTTACTCCTTCAGAAGGTTTCGACAGTAAAGAATCCTACATATATGATGACCAAGGCAGTGACAGCAGCCAAGTTTAAACATTGTTTGGATTTGGTCAATATCCTGGATATTTGAGTTGGCACCAAGAGGTGCGTTTTAAGGCACTATTCAAATGACATTCATTTGACAATTTTTCTAAGGCGGAGATTTGTTAGTCAATATGGGTGGCTCAATTTGTCAAAAAAAAAAATTAGGCTACAAAAGAGAAATCCAGAGAGGGAGAAGATAAGAGAAAGCACCGAAAACGATGCTGACTTTCGGAGGTGAACCCAGTTATTTACAACTGATTCACACGTAGAACTGCAAAAGAGAAATTCATAAAGGGAGAAGAAGAAGAGAGAGCACCGAAAACGGTGTTGACTTTCGGAGGTAAACCCAACTGTTTACAACTGGTTCACGCGTAGAAGAGGGAGAGACAGAGGTTATAAATACATGCCTCTCCTCATTTATTTTGCATCCTAAAAAACTAGAGCTTCTCCCCTTTGTAAATTTGTATGAAATTCGTTGTAATCCAATTTGTGGGCTTTTGTAATTTCTGCTCAATTTGTAATCTTTCCTTTCTTTAATAAATAGAGTGGTCCAGAGTACCCGTAGGCAATATTTGACCGAACTTTATTATCAATTCTGGTGTTCTTTTATTTGTTTTCAGTATTCAATAGTGATTATGTTGGATTTGTTCGCTGCGTATTGTATTGTTTCATCTATACAATACTATTCACATATACGAGACTATTCACGTGTACGATACTATTCACAAGTACTATTCACAGTGAAGTTGCTTTTCAGTGGGAAATACTTGATTTTCCCAACAAGATCTCCCCCTCGTGTGTGTGTTCACTGAGCTCCCCCTCGAACTAAAATTTTTAGTAACCGACACATCCAAGCATCACACTCTAAAAGGGATCCAACTTGAGCTTGAGAAAGAAAGCCGAAACAATGCGAATCCACCAATGCTCCACCATCCACACTTGCAATAGCACCAACTGCAAGAACACCAACTCTCCACAGAAACTCTCCACAAGAAGCGACGTGGGGACTATGACCGAGTGTGATTGTTTAGCCCATATGAACCATCAGCTCTGATACCACTTATTGGAAAGACACCACATATGAAACTAGCCAAACACACTTCAAAAGTCCAACTTGACCCAAAAAGTTAACTTATTACGTCTTGAATTTTTACATGTATATAAACCACTTCACATTCTTATCCATTTTCTATGAAGAATAACACACATATGCACTTTTCTTACCAGAAGCTGTATCTAACTTTTAAAGTTGTTAAATATAGTCAATGAGAAGTTACAAATACACCACCAACTGAACATCCCCTATTCCACAAATGGTGGTTTACATGAGAAGTCATGTGTGTTAATACATATTTCCTAGCCATGAAAGGGTAAACTCCAATCCCAGTAACAATATACAAAAAGAAGTTTTAATGATTTTTCGACTTTGGATAGTAATTCGCAAGGTGGTTGACTGACAATGTAATAGAAGGAAATAACAAAGGATTAAAAACCACCAAACCATAATATTGTCTAAATTAATACGGCAAAAATCAAACTTCATCAACTTCCCCTCTTGACAATCTAATATCCAAAAACTATTCAAGCAAGAAGCATACCACATCCAAGACATCAGGCATCATAACAATCATAACAATCAAATCCAAGAGTAACCAAACACCAAAAGAAAATTAAGATGATGAGAATCCGGTACAATAGTTTAAAAAAAAAATGTATTGCATAGTTCTACACTGTCAGAAGTTAATCAAGTTAAATTAAATTTCCATACTTCTTTCGTTCTGATGTGATTTTAATGTGATCTGATACCCTATCACATAATTCTCCTTTGTCCCAAAAATGCTAAGCAACTGCTTAGCTTCACCTAGTTTTTTTCATTTGAAAAGTAATCATCGTGAATTAGAAATAATAGAATCTGCAGGGACCGATAAAATTTTTGGGGGAACAAAAAAGAGAGAAAAATCAAGCAGCGAGAGTGGATCATTCAGCTAAACTTGCTTCAGAAGACAATTTTTAACGCCACCAATAAAGATCAATAATAAGCTTTGCTGGACCAGTCTTCCCAAAGAAACTAGCTGAGAGTGTAGAAAGAATGATATGTGAGTATCCTATTCAAAAAAAGGTGTTCTCCTAAATCCTAATTGAATCCTGCCCCCAATCAACAAGGCAATTGAACTTTAAAGTCTTACCTAGAAATGCCATAATGAAATTGGGGGAAAAAAAGGAAAGAAAAAGAAGAAAAAGATGTACGAGTTTTGTGTTCCAACCACATTTAGACCCAAAGATATAATCTAACAGTTACAAACTCCCTTGCAAAACCGGCTCGCAAGGGGAGGGAGACCCAAGGGGTCATAAACCCACTGATCATCTTATTACATGCGGGACTTTTGGTATCCAACACTAACCCAACAATTTTTTTTTCACTAAAATTATAATGCAATTTGAGACATCAATTCCAAGAAGCATGAACAAAACTCTAAAATCATGGGATCTCATACAAAATCATAAAGATGCTAATACAGTTGTCATTGCAACAATCACCACAACAAATATTTCTCACGTGGCTTGTCACTATTAGATCAGTTTTCTCGACGCATACCAAATTGAAGAGGAAAAAATCCCTTTAGTTAAACAGATATTTGAAGGAAAAACTTTTTCTCCAATTTCCAAACCATCACAATAGAAACTCCTTGCCCTACACACTTTCCAACTTCACAACATCAAGGAAATCTAAATTGATTAGTTGGGCAGTCTTCTTTTAAAGAGTCTAAAGACTAGTTTCTCAATTGCCACAAAGAACTCTTTACAAAGACGATAGTTTCTAAGAACCAGGGGAAGGAGAAGGACCATTCTACAGCTTCCAAGAGCAATTTTGAAACCTCTAATGAGGAGATAGAATAAGACTTATTGGGCTACTCTTGCCAAACCACTAAGCTCAAAGAAGGAAATGGGATATCTGCATCGTAATTACCAGAAAAGCTAACCCTCTAATTGAATAGTTCTCATCTATAGTGACTACAACGATTCGATAAAGTAAACTAATTCTTCCAAACATATAATCCAATGCGAAATAAGATCCCAAGCAACATGAACGAAGATTCAATTAAGAGATGTATCATGCTCTACCAAAATGAAAACGCTAATGTAGCTGTCAACACAACCGTCAATGAAAACTCAACTCAAGATTTTTCCCTCTCCACTTACACCTAAAGATCCAATCTGAAAGGAAATATCACATTACCCAAGAATCACATAACTAAGGTGTCACGCGTCCAATAAACAACAGTAACAAGCCTTACAGGCAAGGGAACTACTCTTTTCAAAACACTCCACTCAAAGTGAAAATTGTGTATATGCATACTAATTCCCAGAAGAGTTAAATCTCCAACTGAATCAGCAAAATGACATTGGAAAACACGTGAGGCCTGAGCCTTCATCCACAGAGACTCCTAACAACTCAATAAGTTCTACTATCCAAAATCATAATATCCAATGCAATATTATAACCCCAAGCAACATGAACAAAGCTTGGAATTAAGATAATATCATCAAAATACTAATGTGGCTGTCAACTACAAGCTCTGTGTTAGAAATTTTCAACCTCCCGCAACACCTAAAGATCCAATCTGCATTGAAATTATCATTTTTCTCCGAGAATCACATAACTAACAGGAAACACTACCTCCAAGCAACATGATATGAAGCTTACAACAAGAAGATTCTCACACAGCTACACCTGAACACTAAGGTGGCTCTCATGCACTTGTCACCGTAACAAGTATTTCCTACAGGTTTATAGCTCTTAATTCCTTTTAGCAGGTGCAACCAAATTGAGAAACGGCAATTCCCTTGGCGGTAGCAAAAATATTTTATTAAGTCACTCTTTCAGTAAACTTGCACAATGGACTGCTTCTATCCGTTTTCTTGCTTTGCCACAACATGGCAACCTAGTTTGTTAATTAGGGAGATCTTCAGACCATATGAGTGGCAATGTCAATGACTAGTTTCTAGTTAATTGCTACAGAGTATGAGAGTAAAAATGTACTGCAAAAGTCCGGAAAAGAGGGAATTGCTTACATAATATCTATTTAATAAACTGTAAGGGGGAGAGAGAGAGAGAGAGAGAGAGAGAGAGAGAGAGAGAGAGAGAATAGACCATGTATTTGGACCAACATGCATAAAATGTAACCAAAAAGAACATAAAAACAGTGCAAACTAACATGCCTAACTAGCAAGAAAAACGAATTTTGTTCATGATTTTTCTTATGGATCACAATTCACCACCACTGTAAAGCATAAAGCAGTGTCATCAAAATAACTTCTAAAATGAAAACTCTAACAAGAAACAACAAACGGAAAAGTTAACAACTACATACAACCAATGACTTACAATGAGACAATGAATGATTATTCCCTAAAAAGACATAAATCCAAAAGGAGAAAAAAAAATATTGGGGGGTTGGGGGAAGTTGTATGTAAACCACTCTATGAAGGAGAGTGCAGTATGAGCATAATGACTCGATAATTCTATGGATCAAAACGTTTCAGTTACACTTAAAAATCAAAGCTTTCTTCAAAGTAAAAGTAAAGAAAAGATTACAAGTAGAAGCACCATACTCGACGTAGGTTTCTCCGTTTCTTGAATCCGCAAAGACGATCCACAAAGCCCGGCCATTTGCAGAAACCAAGCAAGCAAAGTCTCTGCACTACCCAATTCAAAGCTCAAACTCTTCATCCCTGAGAGCCAATTCCGCGGCTTCCTCTTCTTCCTCGTCAAGAACGAAGTACTCGTTCTTCTCCACCGGCCTAAACATGTAGAACATCACCACGTAAAAGGCGAGACTGGCAATCTCCTCGGCGGCATTGCTCACCCACTGATACTTATACGCCGCGATGGTCTTGAGAGCAAAGACAACGATCCGCGTGAAGTACAAGTATCCGATCACAACAATGTAAAACTGCCTGAAAAGCTGCAGCTTGGACAGGTTCCTCGCGGCCTTCCCGTCGGTTTTCGACGTCTCCCGCAGCGATCGGATTGACCAGACAATGGGGAAAATGATAGCACAGCAACAGATAATATCAACAAACAGGAAAACCTGGTTCCAAGTCACCCAATCCTTGATGAACGGCCCGGTCTCGCCGATCACAACCGAGGCCACATTCGCCAAGACCTGAAGAGGAATTACGATCATCAAAACCTTCTTCTCCCTCTCCTGCAAGAACGGCTTCAGGAACGACCAACCCGTCCCGATCAAAACGATGACGGTGAAGAGCAAAACGACGCGAATAAACTGGAAAATGTAGAACAGAACATCCCATCCGTGAGGCGTTCCGGTGACTTTCACGTAATGCTTGTCCTCCGCGGCGCAGATCAGGTTCAAAGCCTTCATGAGGAGCAATCCGGCCATCAGGAAGTGGATCCGGTGAACGGATCTCTTGTTGGAGAGGAGAATGTAGATCCACAACCCTAGGAATCCGAAATAGACGAGGGAGAAGAAGAAGAAGAGGGAAGGAAGCTGAGTGAGGCCGGCGGAGAGGAAATCCTTAGATCCGTCGCGATCGTAGTTGAAGACCTCGGTGAGGACGTCCATGGTGACGGCGGTGCCGGCGGGGGCGCAGTTGGCGAAGAAGAGGCTGTATTCGTTAGGGGCGGTGACGGGGTAGGAGCGTTTGAAGGAGGAGTGAGGCGGCGGGGAGAGGTTGCGGAAGGTGAAGAGTTGGAGGACGTAGTGGGAGTTGAGGACGCAGAACTGAGGGTCCTGCTGCATCTCCATGAGGACCTGGAGGAGGGATTCCTCAGAGAGGAGGAAGAAGCCGAGGTGGGAGGGGTCGATGGTGGCGGAGGAGGCGACGGCGACGTTGTCGACGGAGATGGCGACGTGGCCGGTGTGGGTGAACCCGAACTTCTCGAAGAGGATCATGGGGCGCGAGTCGCCGGAGATGGTTAGGGATTTGATCTCGCCGGCGGCGAGGGGGAGGAGGATGAGGAGGAGGAGGAAGGGCAGTTTCGTCATTTTGCTAGAGAGAAGGATGGCGATAGAGAAGGATGGCGGTGGTGGAGGAAAGGGAATATGGGGGGAAAGAGACGAAAGCTTGATTGAGCTTACCCTAAAGGAGTGATTTTGTTGTCGTTGACGTGTACCTGAAGATTTTGTTAGATGTTTTGCCTAGAATGCCCTTGAGACCTGATTCCAAGGCGGAGGAGGGGGAGGATAGTTTCGTCTTTTCGGTAAGAGATGGAAGTCGGTGAAATGTTGGTTGGAAGTGGAAGGGGAAGGAGAATGGAAATAGTGATATTTGTACATTTAGTGGGTGTTTGGTAGGCGGTAATGGTTAAAATGATAGGAATAAATATAATTCTCAAAAAATATGTATTAATACCTTTGATTATATATAAGAATTTTTTCTCATATTCTTAAAAATATTATTTTATTATGTTTAGTTAATATAAAGTAGTGTAATGTATTTTATTTAAAATTAATTAATTTGAAATAATTTAATATTAAAAATCTTATTGTTTAAAGAAATACTAAAATCTTATTAATTTGATATGAATTTATAAGATACCGTGCAAAAAAAATTAATAAATTTTAAAAATTACAATTAAAATGAGAATAAGAATAAAACAAATGTTGAGTAACAAAAAAAAAAAAACACACACTTTTTCTCTTTTATTTTTCTATGTCTCATTTTAATCTCAAACCAGATCTTCAATCTCAAACTAATTCTGGATATTTTGATGATAAGTGAAGATGAAAATGCTTCACACAACGTCTCGGATGAAGACAAGGGCTTCCTATGGCATTTCAGATGGAGATCGTCATTTGTGCATGGCTTTCCGACGAGGAGGTTGTAAGAGCACTGTTAGAGGTTGGGATAGGCGGCGTTGTAAGACTCCAATCGAGGGGCGGTTGCGATAGTGGAGGACTGGGACGTTGGGGGACCTACGACATTGACGGGCCATGATGGCGAGGGCCCACAGTGGTGAAGCCGCGACGGTTGGGGCTGGGACTGTGGGAGGCCCGCAGTGAGGGGTCGTGACGGTGAGATTGCCATGCTTTTGAGATTGATGGGAATCTGAATAACACCATATTTGGTGTTTATTTAGATTACCCTATTTTGGGGTCAAATGAATCCCATGTGATTGATATTTTTGGGAATTTAAAAATCACAATTATTGTACCAAACATAGTAATGTGAGAAGATTCATATTCCCACTAAAAAATTATTCCATACTAAACATAAAAAATTATTCCATACTAAACATAAAAAATTATTCCATACCAAACGCTAAAAAATTATTCCATACTAAACGCTCCCAATTTAGAAATTTAACAATTAAATTTCTAATTTTGACCATTTATCTATCAAAAGTGTTGCAATTATACCCTATTTTTATTGATAATTGTGTTAAAATTGATCGAAAGCCATGTTTAACAAAAAGTTTCAAACATTCCAATTTAAATCATAATACAAATCTCTCAATTTCTAGAGTTATAATCTCATAAATTTGACAAAAAATTATAATCTCTTAAATTGACAAAAAAATTAGGAAAAGACTACAATACCTCTCATTACTTTACATAACCATATTGTATTTTTTGGACCGTTCGATTAAGATTCTACAGTGCAAAGATACAGAACCTCACCATTACTAATGTGAGGTTTACATATCAGATTCCTCAAAACTTAAAAGATAAAAAGTAAAAAAAAAAAAAAGAAAGGAAAAGACTTGGATCTGAGAAACTGCCACCGACAGCGTGATAGAAGTAGATTGTCGGCAATTACATCACAGTGACGGTCGCGGTTGGGTAGGATCCCACCATGGTCGTGACCTTATCGCACGACTCGCGACAGAGGACGGGAGGTCGAGAGAGAGAGAGGGGGGTCGCGATTCGCCGGTTTTGGGTGTGGCTTGTGACGGTGTTTCCCGGCGAGGTTCGACGGCGGGACCCACTAGGTTTTGATGTGCGAGGAGGTCTGAGTCGATGCCCAGTTGTAGTTATGGGCAACTCGTGGTGGATACGGAGGGGTAAAGTTGGCTTGGTCGTGACTTCTAGGTGGCGCCGGTGGCGATTTCGGTTGAGATTCGACAAATAAACCATTAGATTCCGTAGATCGGCCGCTGGAGAGTCGTTTGGTGAGGACGGTGTTGTCAAACACGCCGGCGGCTAGTGTGCAGAGGTGGCCGGCAGCAAGTGAGTGGACGTGGCCGGCGTCAATAGGTTCTATCGTTGTCCAGGGCATTTTTTGTATTTTTCATTTTATTTGTGGTATTAATTTTATTAAAATATTAGAATGTGGTTAAGCTTTTTTTTGTTTCTATGAAACCATGATAAATTCAACGGTGTACAAAAAAAAAATATATTTGGTACTGTAGTCGTGGCCAAAAAATTATAGTAAAATTGACAAAAATGATAAGTTGCGAAACTTCTAGAAGATTAAGGGCAGATGTACAAATAGACTATTAAAAACTTACACCAGGAAGTGGTGGCGTGTTGACGTGGATTTTAAGCTTCATTCTGTGGGATTATTTCGTACGATAATGCCCTTCAGATCTGATGGGTGTACGGTGCTGAGATTTTTCACCGTCGTTTTGAATAAATAAATGAATTAGGGACCATTAACTATTCGTTTAATTTGTTGATTTAAATTTTTAATGTGAATTGAGATGTGATTATATATGAGAGTTTTTTATTGTAATAAAAAATTAGATGTGATTATTTTTGAGAGCTTTTTACTGTAACAAAACTCAAATTTTAAACTCGAATCGGTAAAATGAATGAAGCCTAATATTGTTAATTAGTTTTTTAAGTAATCTTAACAAATATCATTTAAAGTGTATGAGTCAGAATTTTTACTATTTATTCTTGATTTATAATTATTTTAGTCAAATAATTACATTAAGAAAATGATATTTATCAAGAATAATGAGTAAATATTCAGACTCCGCTCTCAAAAGTAAATTTTCTATTTTTATTTTTTCTTTATTTTTTTTGATAGTTTTGATCTCATGATCATAATTTTTTAAAATTTTACGAAAACTCTCCACTCTTACCCTTTAAAAACAAATTCATAACATTGTCTACTTCATATCTAATATTGCAAAATTTTCCATTCTTACCCTTTAAAAACTCATGGAAATTCATAACATTATGTATTACTACTTGCATTAAAGTTTCCAAAGTTTGTCATCGATTTCAAGATGGGAAACTAATCGTCAATAATAATAATATCAAAGAATAATCAAATAACAAAATTAAAGGGAAATGTACAGACCATAATTGCTAGCTATCAGATTTTTTTGTTTTTTTATTGCGTGATTGCAGAAATAAACACAAAGGGGTTGTTTGATTCATGGTCAATTAGGGGACGTTTATTTCATGTATTCGTAATTGGTTCTGAATTATGATTCATGGTTCTCTACAGTATTTTTCTTTAAAAAAAAAAAAATACACGTAAAACGAGAATAATTCAGAATCATGATTCTAAATCTACGAACCAAACGTTCACTTAGTGATCACTTGCCAACTTCAATGATCGTCGTTGGCGGGTGACTAGTGGTCATCCAGTGAGCGATTCCGGCTATTGGAATAACTGCACCCGCTAATAACATGCAATTTGAAAAAGAAATAAAAACAACAATAATACAACCAAGTAAATCTTTATACAATTTTCATGTAAAGACTAACCTTATTTTTCCTTATCAGTTCTCTTTTGCGACAAGACCAAGCCCCAGTTAAACTCTTCTGGTCCCAGCTCAATTAAATAAATATTTGGTCAATGTTTGATTTTGGATAGTGAAGTTTGTGAACGCTTTTTTGTTTGTAAACGTCTGCGAAAGTTTGCTTGTGTTGTTTATCGTGATATGGTCTTGGTTCATGCATCTCCTGTGTGTCTTTTGTTGCATGGAACATCTTACCAAACGGTCCAAACCTAAAGAATGATACAATTTTTTTTATTTATTATTATCATTGACACTCTTGAATTTTAGGGTTATTTTCAGTTTGTCTTCTAAATTTTAAAAACTTTTGCTTTATCTCATGAACTTTGAAGTGTTTTCACTTAACCCCTTATGTTACAATTTCTATTAAAAATAGATAAAAAAAAGAGAATAACGCAGTCACGTGATCTTTTTATTTAGATTTCTATTAACAAATAAAAATAAAAACCATATAACTACACTTAACCTTCTTTTTTTCCGTCTGATTTTGACAAAAATTATAATAAAATGAGTTAGATGAGAACAATTTAAAGATCCAGAGACAAAGTGAGAGTTTTTATAGTTTAATTCAAGAATACCAGTGAGAATAATCTATTTTTTTTATTTATATATATATTGGCCTCGTTCACTTTGCGGATTCGAGTTTTCAATTTGAGCTGAGATGTGACATTTTATAAGAGTTTTTCACTGTAGCAGAAAAAAATTAGATGTGATATTTTTTGAAAGCTTTTTACTGTAAAAATCTAAAATTGAAAACTCGAATCGGTGAAATGAACAAGGCTAAGGATGCAATTGATGGTAACATATTACCAAACCTCAAAAGTTATACAATTGATGGTCTTTTTTTTTTCACTGAATGGGATGGTCTTTATACCAAAAAGAGCGGAAAAAAATTGCAGTTCATCTATCCTTCTTTCAATGGTTGTTTGGAAAAATCTCTCTTGTGACGTGATTTTTATTTGTCCACTTTCTTTGATTTGGACATAATTGATTCAAATTTATTAATTTATTTGCTAGGGCCTAGGGGTATTCAAAAAATAATTTGGGACTTTTTTTTTATTTGAAGGAATAATTTATGAACTAATCGGAAAAAGGAAGTTAAGGAGCAAACTATTCCCTTTTTAAAAAGCTCAACAACTAGTAATACACACACAAAATATATATACATTTATATTAGAATATCGAAAAAAGAAAGTGTAACTATATAAACATTCAGGAACTTGACAACATAAATTGAAGAGACAATTCGATTGATTAATTATTTTTTCTTAATGCCGATATTATTTTGCTTGAATCCGACCATTGGCATTTCTATTTTTTTTTCTCTGAATTGACATTTCTAACTTGTAGCAGAAATGTATGCATAAAGCAAAATGTAAAAACTAATAACAAGCGCTGGAATTTGGGATGAAATTAGGTATCAAGGAGATTTATTTATTTTTTTAAATAACTCACATAAATATTCATTAAATAAAGTATGCAAAGGACTGAGACGGATAAGTTTGAGTTTGTTTGTTTTTTGAATATAAAAACTCACCGTGTGGAAAGTGGAACGGAAAATTTTGGTTTTATTCTATGGAACCCAATACAAGAAAAAGCCCATACAAGATTAACGATAATTTGTGATGAATGCCAAACACTATAAAAATGTATAATTTAATGTTTAAACCAATAAATAATAATTCATTTAGTTACAAATATTTAAAACTTTAATGAAAAATAATGAGAGAAAATATTTTAGGCGCGTTTAGAACTCGTTATAAAATGATTTTATTTTATTTGTATGAAAATGAAAATGAAAACGTTTTTAATCTCAGATAGAAATTATTTTTAAAAATACGTTTAGTAGTTTTATCAATAGATTATTTTCAGTTTAAAAAAACTCATTAATGTCTCTCTTTATCTCTCTCTACTCGAGAGAGGAGAAAGTAAAAACAAAAAATGAAAAATGACTAAAAGTCGTTTTTTATTTCTCTCTCATTTTACACTAAATCAAAAAATCGTTTTCATTTTCGTTTTTTATCTTTATTGCGCCAAACGCCGTTTTGAAAACGTTTTTATTTTTTCTTTTTCAAAAACCATGAAAAATAAAATCGGGATCAATTCTAAACACGACCTTTTGTTCTACCAAAAATTTTCTTAAATTACTCTAAAAAAATTTATTAAATTGATTGTAAATTGATGAACCCACCATAAGCAAAAATATAAAGAATCATTGGAAAAAAAAAAAAATTGGACGGTGGTAGATGAGGAACAATTGCACGTTGTCATCACCATAATGACTATTATACCCTTATTCACCCTGCAAATATCAAGAAATCTCTTAAGTCCCCAAGGGCAAATTGATCAATTCGTTTCCACTCCAAGACAAGAGAACTAGGAGGAGGTGGTGGCCCAAATCCACAAGTCTTCCTGCTCGAGAGAAAGATCTGCAAATTTAAAGTCCCCAAATTACCCTCACCAACATTATATAACTACAACGGAGACCACTTGGGCTGATCCGTAATTTGATCCAAAATAATGACCATTAAAGTCCTTGTACGACAGGCTTACCTATTTATTGCTTATTAGCCGTGGAAACAAGAAACACGACCGAGAAGTGTTTGTGTGTTTTTTTCTTCAAAAAAAAAAAAAAAAAAAAAAGAAAAGAAAAGAAAAGAAAATCGTTATTTTCGTTTGGGGACTAAAAAGATTTAAAAAAAAAAAAAAATTCTAATCTCACACGAAGCCCAAACTTCGAAGCCTCCGACCAAGAATCTTGAAATCTCATTGATGCTTCAGGATTGGATTGGATTGGATTTCGCACTCATAAATTCTCTATTTTTAGTCCCAAAAAATAAGAACAAGATAAGAGAAAAAGCAAAAATTTTGGTTTAAATTTGATTTATTGATCGTTTTATTCTTTCCTTGAAGTTTCCGAATTTCGCTTCCCAATCTGCTAGTTCATCACTCTTGGTACGCTTTCTCTCTCTTCTCTCTTTGTAAGACTTTTCAATGCAATTTTCTGTTGTTTTGTAATTGTCGTTTTGTTGGAAAATTTGGCGTTAGTGGTCTGTTTCGTTGCCGAGAAAACTGTATTGTGAATGGTTAGGAAATTTAGGAACTTCGAGATTTTGATTTGAATACGTAAGGAAACCGAAAAAGAAAAGAAAAGGGAAATTTTGGTTCAGTTTCTGAGCTTATCGAACGTTCATTTTTCTTTTTTCATGTTTAAATTTCATTTCTTGATCGTCATTTTTTTTTCCTGCAAGTTTCTAAGTTTCATTTCACTCTAGTAGTTAGATACTCTTGGTATGTTCTATTTCTTTCTTATGATATATCTATCTCTCTATCTATATATATATATATATATATATATATGTATGTGTGTGTGTGTGTATATATATATATATGTTGATTTTGTTAGAAAAGTTGGCGTTAATGCTCTGTTTGGTTACCGATAAAATTTTTTCGGTAGATGCTTTGAAAAATTTATGAATTTCGTGAATTTGATGGTTTGAATACGGGTTTTAGGTAATAACTGACTTGGATTGGAACTTCTGTCTCTCTCGCGCGCGCGCGCGCTCTCTCTCTCTCAATATATATATATATATATATATAAATGTCTACTGCACAAATCGTATATCTTGTTTTTCATTACGTGAGCTTAGGGTTTATGTTTGTGGCAAATGAAACTGAATTTCATATATGGTCATCTTTTGTGATTTTTGTTCGGCTATATGTTTACGCAGGTATTGCTCAGACGAATAAGAGGAAATCTCCTCAAATCAATCTTCTTTTCTTTTTGGGTTGGGGGAGAAATAATTCAAGTCAATAGTTTGAATCTTTTCAATCTTTCAGGAGATTCGGAGAACAGTTTTAGTAGTTAAGCGGAGAAAATAATTTGTATCATATTTCTAGTTCTTGATTAATCTTTGACGAGACACTGAAAAAGGGTTTTAGGGTGGTTATAACCAAATGAATGTAGTTGGTAAAGTTGGGAGCTTAATTACCCAAGGTGTTTACTCGGTTGCTACGCCGTTTCATCCCTTTGGTGGTGCTGTTGATGTCATTGTTGTAAAACAGCTGGATGGGACATTCCGGAGCACGCCGTGGTACGTTCGATTCGGTAAATTTCAAGGCGTTCTGAAGGGTGCTGAGAAGATTGTCCGTATATCGGTCAATGGCGTTGAGGCCAATTTCCATATGTATCTTGATAATTCCGGTGAGGCTTATTTTGTGAAGGAGGTTGATGTTGGTAGAGGAAATGAAAATGGGGTTTCTGAGGATTCCAGAATTCCGGAATTTAGTAGCATAAATGGTGACAAGCAGCACAATAGTAATGAACATGTTGTTGACATTCGTAGGCTTGATCATAGTGTTTCTGATTCCGGGGTAGGTCAATTGCAAGAGGAATGTGAGTCCTTTGGGGAAGAGGGAATAGAGAGGGCTGAGTCTGATGGTGAACGGAGGTTGTATGAGTTCCAAGATGTGCAATCTTCTCTTGATGGTTCTGTTGATTTGTCGGATTATGGATCTACTCGATATGAGAATTTGGATGGTGAGAATATCGTGGAATCACAGAATTTAGATTCGGAAGTTGTGTTGGTAAGTGTGGATGGTCATATATTAACGGCCCCTATCACAGCGTCAGAACTGAATACAGACAATCTTCAATTAGGCACTCCTCAGTTTCATCTTGGCCCTGGAGAAGGGACGGAATTCTGTGATGGCAACGATGAGCTTTGTTCGGCTGAAAATGGATGGGCTGTTGACTATATTAATAAGCTGAATGCCTCCTCAACAAATGATGAATCTGATAACATTTCTGTTGTTAACAATGATAGTAGTGCTTTAGGGCACCAGCTTGTTGTTTGTGAAGGAGAGGAAGAACATGTCTGTCAAGTGACGGAAGCTCAAAATATTGCAATGACAGAAGGGAATGTCCAGGTGCATAGTGGTTCACAAGATGTAGCAGAAGTTGAGAAGGAAGAGGTTTTCAAGAACTCTTCCGATAACCAAGTGACCGAAACACAAAACTTTGCAATGACAGATGGGAATATTCATGTGCATAGTGATTCAGAAGATGTGGCGGAAGTCAAGAAGGAAGAGGTTACTGAGAACTCTTCGGAGTTATCAGAACTACCTAAACAGGTGGAAGGTACCTATTTCAAAGATTTGGGTTTGTCATCAGAGGTCCATAGTTCACCCGAGGCTCATCAAACTGTTCCACTGGATGATGGAACTGGGGATACTGGTGCTGTATTTAGAAACAATGATGGGTCATCTCCTTCATACAGCGCTGTTTCAGTTAACAATAATTTGTCTATGGATATACAGTGTGAATGTGAACAAGTTGATAAGAATGCTGATGGTGCAGAAGATGCGGGTGTTGACGATCAAGAAGGTAGATCTCTTCACTCCATTGGCGAAAATTCAGAATGGAAGAATGAACAGTCTGATACATCAGGAGCAGTCGGTATAGATGGTACTCCAGAGAGGCCTACAGGTGAAGATGAAAGCACTAGAAATGGGCCAATGGAATCTCCTACAATAACTTCTGCTGAAGCATTACAAACGCATTCAAACATAAGTAAGCAATTCTTTGTGACTTTGATAATTTATTGTGGTTTGATGCTAAAGCAAGTGTTTTTATTCGTCAATCTTGCAATTTGCAGGTTTTGAGATCTCGCTCTGTGGGACCAAGCTTCACGCAGGTATGGGTATGGTTGCAGCTGCTGAAGCCTTTAATGCACATCGCATATCAGCAGAGGAGTTTAAGAGTTCTGCTTCGTCGATTATTAAGAATGGAAGTCTGATTGTTAGATTTAGAGGGCAGTATTTGCCATGGGAAAAAGCTGCTCGTATAGCTCTGGGGATAGCTGCATTTGGCTTAGATCTGCCTATTGAACCCAAGGATGCAATTCCTGTGGAACAGGAGGACACGTCAAAGGCCAAAAATGATGATTCCGGATTAACATCCACTCCCTCTGGACGGAGATGGAGGCTCTGGCCTATTGCATTCAGAAGGGTCAAAACACTGGACCACACCAATAGTAATTCGTCAAATGAGGAGGAATTTGTTGATTCTGAATCTGTTTTACCTAACTCACAAATAGAAACTCTGACATCCGAGAGCCGCAATGAGTCTCCTCGCAAACAATTTGTACGGACAAATGTTCCCACTAATGAGCAGATAGCCTCTTTGAACTTGAAAGATGGTCAAAATAATATCACTTTCAGTTTCTCCACCCTCGTTTTAGGAAAACAACAGGTTAGTTATTATTATTTTTTTTTATATTTTGTTTTTGGGTTGAGTTCATCATCTAGTATCTGTGAAGATGATATTTAGTTGAGTGTTTTCCTCCCTCTTTTCCATTTATAGTATTTAGTTGGTAAGACACGGCGTTTGTTTTTATAGGTTGATGCACATATTTACTTGTGGAAGTGGAATGCACGAATTGTAATCTCCGATGTAGATGGAACGATAACCAAGTAAGACTCCTGTTATTGTTATAGGTCAAAATTTCTTGGGAAGAATTGCTGTCATGAACTGCTCAAATTCGATTGTTTTCCAAACTTAATAGTGTGGATGCATGTGTATAAGCTTTGTGATATAACCTTTAACCTTTCGATGGTTTCAAGTATCTACGAATTTATTGCGCCTTATTTACTTGCAACGTTCTCTTCCAGGTCGGATGTTTTAGGTCAGTTTATGCCTTTAGTTGGAAAGGATTGGACACAATCTGGGGTAGCTAAGCTTTTCTCTGCAATTAAGGTCTGTTTTGTTTCTGCAATTTAAATTTTCATTCCTTCAAGCATTCCATTCCCTCTGAGCTTGACAAACTGAATAAACGTTATGTGCCTGAGTGAAAAAGCATAGTTTCTTCCTTGTTTGGATATGAATTAAATCATTTTGCAGGTCTTGCTAGTGCAGGTCTATATTACGATACAGACGCCACCACTGATGGTTTACCAAAAGTCAAATTGTTTCAATACATTCTATTTGTTATATCATTGCAAATATCTCTGTCTGTTCTTACATAGATTAGTAATTCTTTTTATTGACGTCTTCCCGGGGAGGAAAACTAATGACTTCTGAATTGCATTTGACATCATTCTAGTTTTCTCTTTGTTGAAGTGAGATCTAAAGATGAATTCGGATATTATGACAGGAAAATGGATACCAGTTACTATTTCTCAGTGCACGTGCTATTGTTCAGGCATACCTAACGAGAAGCTTTTTACTCAATGTTAAACAGGTACAAGTATAACGTTTTCCGTGGCTTCTCAACAATTATTTGAATGTTTGCTTCCTTACATGGTTGAATATGAAAATTATCCAACATTTTCTAGTTTAACGAAATATATAGATGAGTAGGCACGAGGCATCATTTTAAGGACTTTCTGCAAATGCTTTTTTGTTTGTAACCATGTTGGTTTAGCAATCTTTGGATTGGAGCTGCTATGTTGAAAAAATTGAACGAACCAAATTCATTATGTTTCTTTATGTGCAGGATGGGAATACTTTACCCAACGGACCTGTTGTAATCTCACCTGATGGACTATTTCCTTCATTGTACCGCGAAGGTGAGGACTCGATGACCTGTGTAGATTTCATTTGATTTCCATTTTCAGTCATCTCTTGGAACTTTACCGGTATCAAAAGCCGGAATAACTTTGACGTTGGCGGTTGGCTTGGGTTACTTGGTATAATTTTTAACTATTTGCTGATGGCAGTTATAAGAAGAGCACCTCATGAATTCAAGATCGCATGTTTGGAGGTAATTACCAAAAGCCTGAGAACTAACAGCAAATTGGGATGCTTTTCAGAGATGGCTAATTCTTGGCATTTTATCTTTACTCATTCCAAATTCATTTGCAGGATATCAAGAGGCTATTCCCTTCTGATTACAATCCATTCTATGCGGGTTTTGGAAATAGAGACACGGATGAGCTTAGCTACAGGAAAATCGGGATTCCAAAGGGGAAAATTTTCATAATCAACCCCAAGGTATTGTTTCTTTAATACCGTTTGTGCTACTGCTCGGCAAGATTATAATAAGTCATCCTTCCTAGTTCCTAATTATTCGCCTTCATACTTGCAGGGTGAGGTGGCTATTAGTCATCGGATTGATGTCAAGTCATACACTTCTCTACACACTCTTGTAAACGACATGTTCCCTCCAACTTCACTAGTTGAGCAGCTGCAGGTAAACAAAACAATCTACATTCTACACCACAGATCTGCAAAAGGGTTGTGGAGAGGAAATAACAGAACTCGGGTTTCTTTTTTTTTTTTTTTTTTTTTTTTTTTTTTTTTTGTTGTTGTTGTGACAATTCTAATTTTCATTGGTTGTGCAGGAAGACTTCAACTCGTGGAATTTTTGGAAAGTGCCATTGCCAGATATTGATCCATAAATGTGCTTGTAGGAACCTCTTCCCTTTGGCCGGAAGAGAGAGAGAGAGAGAGATCTGTGCTTTTGAATGTCCCATTAATATTAAATTATTAATTATATTAAATTATTATTTTTTAGATGCTCAATCAATTTTGAAGTCTGTGATATGGTGTTTCTAAGCTACTTAGATCTATTAATCTTAATTTTTACCTTTTTTATTTCGACTTAACCATTCCTTTTATACGGGGGAATATGCTAGAATGACTATCCAACAAAGTGAAATTAGTAAAAGAAGGTCCAACAGATAGGCCCAGGAAAAATAAGGGGAAAAAAAAAAAACAAAGAGAAAAAATTACAGAGTTTAATAGAAATGTGTAAATTCACAACCGATTAGTCCAATTAATATTATGTTTACTTATCTGTAATCGGAGTGGATATGAATTAGAGTAGACATGATTCGAAGTGAATAGGAATTAGAGTTAAAATAAATTGTTTATTTAAGTTCTAGGAATTAGAGTTGGAATCAGTCTTAATTTCATCATGTGTTTAGTTACACTTAAAATCGGAATAAACTATTATAAATTTACTTACCTACCATTTTAGTAAATTTTTGGGTGTTAAACTTTTTAAAAAAAGAAATTGTATATTATGCTAGCTGTCTTAATATTAGGATAACTAATTAGTAATTCGATTTTTTTAATAACACCAAATCACACCTAGATTTTTTTTAATTAGTAATTAGAAATTGTAATGGTCTTGATCTCCACGAATCCTTGAAATGATGCTGTGCAATCAAGGAGCAAAACATGGTTTGATCACAAAGTCAACAAATAAACACAAAAAAAATAAAAAAATAAAAAATAAACTTGCGATTTAATAAAAAAGAACCACACTCACTTTGAAGAGAAGATGGATGCTCTTAGTTGCTGTGGATGGAATGTTGTGTTTTGAGGAGAAGAAAATATTAGAAAAAGTGAGTAAGGAGATACGAGAGGCGTGAAAGTAAATTATGACATTTTTAATTTTTTACTTTTTACTTTTTTATTCACAAATTTGTTAGTAAAATTAAGAATAAAATCGTAATTCATATTTATTATTAGGATTGAGAGTGCCAATCCGGTGAGAGGTGAGGAGAGTGTTAATTCAAAATTAGTGTGAGACCCACACATTTCTAATCTCATTTTAAGATATAAATGAATAAGCAAATATGTGGTTGATTTCGATTTTCAATTTACGTTCTTTACTTTTAGTAAGTAAACATGTCATAAATTTAAACTGGCTCAAACGAACTCAAAAAAATCCTAGATACATGAGATATGAACAAATAAATAATGACTACAATAAAATAGAAAAACAATAGACCAAAAAGTGATAAATTACCTGACTAATTTTTTTTTTCAGGGAATTACTTGATTAATTTGGTGGTTGCAAAGAACTATTCACTAAAATAAATAGGTTAAACTTCAACTTTTAAAAGTCAACAATTACAAATAAACAGTGCGGTGAAGCAGTAAATTCTATGTCTATAAAATACTGTTTCCAACTACCCATAATATCATATATTTCTGTTCGAAAAATTATCTAGTATCTTGTAATTATTATTTTTTTTCTCTCTATTCCTTGTAGCCTAATTCTAAGTGGAATCAATGAATATTTCTCATATTAGTACTCAACGTCATGTTCATCCCATCAAATTACTAATGTTTATGTTAAATGTTCTAAATTGAACATTTAGGCCTCGTTCACTTCGCAGATTTGAGTTTTTAATTCGAGTTAATATGTGACATTTTTTGAGAGCTTTTTACTGTAACAGAAAAAGTTAGATGTGACATTTTCTGAAAACTTTTTACTGTAAAAATTTAAAACTGAAAACTCAAATCGGTAAAATGAACGAGGTCTTAGTCTTTATTAAGGGAGAATAGAAAAGTATTGCTTTGGGAATGTAGTCCCAGGTGCATTACCACGTCATGCAAATTAAGACACCCCCTAAAAAATTGAAAAACGACAAGATGTAAAACAAAGAAATTAAAACGACAAAATAAATGTCAAAAAGTTTGTCGTTGGAATAAATATTAATAAATATTACTGCGAGAGGAAGCAATTTTAACCCCCACGTGCGCGTTACTTCAAAACATTACTCAGATCATCCCCGAACGGAGGATTTAAATTATGATTTTAATCATAATTTATAATTTATTATAATATTTATTTTTATAAAAAATATACATAAATAAAAAATAATTTTAATTTATAAATTAAATAAATTTTAAAATATTATTTTAATCGGGACCTACTATTTTGCCCCCCTACAATTACAATGCTAACCCTTTATTGCACTTTTTCTACGAAAATGAGTATAATAACACGGTAAGTTTACTCATTTGTCCTTCCCCTCACAGTAAGTTTCTGATTTTTTTTTTCTTTCATAAACGATGTTTTCAATTGTCGTATCACGTGTGGGTCATTAATCGACAGGATATTATATATATATATATATATAGGATTATTTTTAGAATTATCTGAACTATATACCCGATTCAAATTAATTTTTTAAAATGATTCAAAACACCTTTTAATTTATAAAAAACAGATTAAAACACTGTTTCTGTTCACCTCTGTTTAAAATTCTTAACAAAATTGCTGACATGACATGCTATTTGAAATTAACTGAAGATATTAAATTCTAATTAACTCTATTAAAATGATTTAGTATTAAAAAATAAATAAAATTCAGAATCTAAGGATTAAATAAAAAAACCTTCTGAAATTATTTTGAATATATATATATATATATATATATGCAGATGGGGTTTGACTCGTTCTTCTTCCTTTTCTTTGAACCTGTTCTGTTCTCTTGCTTTCTTATTCTTTCAACCTATTTTTTTTACAGCAAACGCTAAATCTTGACACAAAATAAATACAAATTAGAGTGTTCTTTGGTGATTAATTAAGCATTTGATTATACATTAACCTTTTCGTTAATATATATACATTGGTACGTGATCTTGTCGTGGATAAGAACGGCGGTGAACAAGACAGTGGATAAAGACCGCCTCCGTCGCACCCTCCGGAGCTATGCCGATTTAGTTGTCGTCCATGCCGGTAATGCTGTTGTCGGCAGTGACAGAGCAGCTTGAAGATGAGCGGGGGGCGGCCCCCACTCAAATTTTTAAAAAAAAAATATTACCTTTAAAAATTTTAAAATTTTACACTTAAGTCCCAATTGAAATTATATATGCTCATACTAAAATAAATATGTTTTCTTATATGCCCCCACTAAAATAATTTATTAAAATAAATTTAGTGTACGCCCCCACTAAAATAAAAGGCTGGTTCCGCCACTGGTTGCCGGTAGCGCCAGGATCATCCAGGATCGCATTGTAATTCTACTCATGTTTTTCCATCATATTCTCTACAAAATGAAATATACGTTCACCAAAATTGATGCAGATTTTAGCTTACATATATTGTATAAGTACTACATAAATAGCTAGGTAATTCTTTTTTGCAGCTGAATCTATCATTGAGATCCATTTTCTTGTTCTTTAACTGGGTTCTCTTAAGCTAATAAAAATAATACAAAGTTTATAGAAAGAAATGAGCTCCTAAACAAGTTGAGAGTCTTTAAGAGGTTTGGAATGAGAAGTTTAATTGCACCAATTTAAAAAGGTGAGATGTTTTGCTAAAATTAAAAGAATGAATAGGCCTACCCTATTCGTGCCAATTACTCAAGGTAAATAATATACTTTTTCTATTTTTTTTTTTGTTTTCACTTAGACCTAGTTTCGGTTTACTTTTGAAATTTCTAAAAGTACTTTGCATAAAAAATATAATATATGTATGGACAAATTTTATAAATTCCTCATGAACTTTATCACTTGTATCAACACGCCCCATAAACTTTAAAATATGCATGTTGTGGCCCCTGAACTTTGTCATTTGTGTCAACATGCCTCCTAAGGTTAACTTCGTTAATTTTTTTAATGAAAATGCTTATAAATGCCCCCTGATCAATATGCCCCATGAACTTTAAAATGTACATGTTTTGCCTCCTAAACTATGATATGTCTCCAGCTTTTTCCCCTCCATCTTGATTCTATCAGTTTTTTGAACGAAAAATGTTGATATGATCATTAAATTATCTGTGATATTTGAGGTTTATTGAATACCTTATCCTCTAAAAATATTAGTTAAGCACCAATTCTCAAAACATTAGTTGATTAGAGGCAATAAAGAGAGAAAAATGAGGAGCAAATCTGTATAATGTAATGAATTTTGTTAGTTTTTTTTCTTAATATTTTACTTAGATAGAAATGCTCGACATAAAACATGTTTATGCTTTATAAATATATAGCATTTCTAAATCTAAATGCGTTCAGGTCATTATTATTTGTACCTTTAAAAAAAATCAACACAAACCTTAAGAAACCTAGTAACTTAACAAACTTTAATGGTCAAACATCATAGATAATTAGCAACTTAATAGTCATATCAACATTTTCATTCAAAAAACTGATAGAATCAAGATGAAGAGAAAAAAATTAGAGATATATTATAGTTCAGGAGGTAAAACAAGTACATTTTAAAGTTCATGAGACACTAGTTAGTTAAATGGTGGAAGATAAATAAAGAGGGGAGTGGGAGCTGAGGGAAATTAGGAAGAAGCTAAAATCAGTAGTGAGAAAGTCTTGAAGATTGTTCCAAGCGGGGGAGGTTGCAGACCCTCGAAGTTCTGCCTATTACTTGTATTTCCATCCAATTAGCAATAAAGATTTACTCCATTACTTTCTTGTCCATTTCCTTAAGTTTTTCAGAGCTCAAATTAGCCTAGATCTATCACATAGTTTCTATACTTTCTATTGAAGCTAAAGATCTGATTTCTTTACAGGATCAAGAGCAGGCACTCGCTGAAATTCACCCGTGTTTCAATTTAGAGGCTCCCTTGCTTAGAAAGAAGTCCTTTGGAAATGGCGATTCTCGAGAAATGCATGATGAAAAGGTTTTAAACTCCATGTGATGCAAATATAATAAGCTTACTTCTGAGAGATTTACTGATGTTATGCTCTTATCAGTTGATGCTGATAAATAAAATAATTATGATTTGTCTTTGGTCTAACTCTTTGCTTGC